TATAATAATTATAATAATAGACAGCTTCAAAAGGCCGTCACTAGATGACAGTGTTTACCACAACAAAGAGGGAGCGGTTGTGGCCGCCTCCACCTGTTACATAATGACATACAGTGGACCCCGCTTAACGATCACCTCCCAATGCGACCAATTATGTAAGTGTATTTATGTAAGTGCGTTTGTACGTGTATGTTTGGGGGTCTGAGATGGACTAATCTACTTCACAATATTCCTTATGGGAACAAATTCGGTCAGTACTGGCACCTGAACATACTTCTGGAATGAAAAAATATCGTTAACCGGGGGTCCACTGTATTTTATTCATTCTAGAGTATATATCGTGTTTCTATGTTATTTATATTGTCTGTTATGTCATATTAGATGAACTGTGATATATAAATAAGCCGTATAGATGATATTAGCGAAATTATTCATGAAGAATTTTGCCCGGTGTCCAGACAAACTCTTGTCCACCACCGACTCTGCCCATACCACTACATGAATGACATATTTTATTCATTCTAGAGTATATATCATGTTTCTATGTTATTCATATTGTTTGTTATGTCATACTAGATGAACTGTGATAGATAAATAAGCAGTATAGATGATATTAGCAAAATTATTCATGAAGTATTTTGCCCGGTGTCCAGACAAACTCTCGTCCACCGCCGACACCGCCCATACCACTATATGAATGACATATTTTATTCATTTTAGAGTACATATAGGTTTCTATGTTATTTATATTGTTTATGTCATATTAGATGAAGTGAGATAGATAAATAAGCCGTAGAGTTGATATTTGCGAAATTACTGAAGTACAGAATTCCACTGGCATAGATTAATTGCATTTCAATTAATTTAAATGAGGAAAATTGACTCTGCAAATGAGAAAATCCGGTTGCGAGCAAGGCATGGAACAGATTAAACTCGCAAGTAGAGGTTCCACTGTACTGTAAGTCCTGTGTTGCAGATATTTTTAGTACATTGTTTATATCCACTTTATTCCTGTCTTCCATTTATACACCTCATTCATATCTCCCCTAATTCTACACCTTTCTAGAGTGCAGATTCAGTGCCCTCAGTATATCCTCATAGGAAAGATTTCTGATACATGGGATCGACTTTATCATCCTTCTCTGTGTTTTCCTGCGTATTTATGCCCATTATGTAATATGGTGACCAGAACTGTACAGTGTAGTCTTAATGAGACCTTACCAAGGATATGTAAAGTTGAAGTATAACCTGAGGACTCCTATTATTTATTCTTCTTGATATGAAGCCAAGAATTCTATTAACTTTATTGCAAACACTTACGAACTGTTTTCTTGGTTTTAGATTACTGCTAACCAGAATTCCGAAATCTTTTTTGCATTCAGGATAATTGAGATCTACATTATTCATTTTATAAGTGCCATGGTTATTCTCTTTCCTCGGGCTTAGAACCTTACATTTGTCTACGTTAAACTGCATCTGCCACTTCTCCGACCACTGCTTCAACCTATCTAGATTTTCGTGTAATGCTTGAGTGTCTTCATCAGAGTTAATTTGACAGCTTATTGTGTCATCAGCAAAATTGCTTATGTCTTGTACTGTACTCTGGGGAATAGATAAAATAGACAAAGTTCTTGAATGTACAGCACCAGGGTGTAACTCTCGAGCATAAAGCAAAACTCGTGATGGTTCAAAAGCACATGCAGACTTATGTTTTATAAGGAAAGACTGTCTCTAGAAAAATGAAGTACGAGTTGATTTTGATAGACATAGAAAATACACTACTATAGGGCATGGACAAGGATAAGTTTTACCACAAGGCAAACAAGAACGAGAGGACATACATGGTAACTACACATACTCAAATGAACCACAGGGATTTGTAAAGTACTTTTTCAAGATAACGTTGGAAGTAGAATAATCTGGGCAATGAATGATACAGTGCAAGTTAACTCCATAAAAGATCTCAAAAGACAAAGTTATTTCATGGCACTGAGTGAAAGTTAAGAGTTGATCATCATTTTATAATAATTACACAAGTACAATGCATGTGACTGCATTAAAAATGATTACATAAAATTTTGGATCTTGGGACACGATTTGAAAGGGGGATGAGGATACAGTACAGTAGGGCCCTGCTTTACGGTGTTTCGCTTTACGGCGTTCCGCTAATACAGTCATTTCAAATTATGACCAAAACTCTCTATACGGCTCCCCCCACCTGACTTTTTAATACGGTCATCGCGCCCCACCCTGTTTGTTTGCATTCTATGTGAGATCTGATAATTAAACTTATGTATACCTGTACCTAAATAAACTTACATACTGTGCTGGCATGCAGGTACACATTAAAATCAGTGTCTTATGTCTCGAGACGTAATATTTGTAATGATAATGATAATCACCGAGTCTCATTACATGTCGTATATTACGTTAATATACATATTTTCATTAATCCATCTATGATATTTTTTCAAAATTATATAATCAACACAATGCATAACATATAAAGATGATAAATACACCCCACAGTAGAATAAATAAACATAAATATGAGATGTGGTAGCAGACGACTTGCACAACTGACGGCATTTTATAAATGATAATAATAATAATCACTGAGTCTCGTTAATCCTTTGAGGGTTTCAGCTGTACTAGTACGGCTTACGACCCAGGGTTTTTGACGTACTAGTACACCTAAATTCTAGCGCCCTCAAATCTAGTGGGAGAAAGCTGGTAGGCCTACATATGAAAGAATGGGTCTATGTGGTCAGTGTGCACAGTAAAAAAAATCTTGTAGCATACAGTGCATAATGAGAAAAAAAAAACTTTGACCGTTTTTTTTTTTAATAAAACAGCGACTTTGCACTGTATTTTCGTATGGTATTTATTGTTGTATTCTAGTTTTCTTGGTCTTATTTTATAGAATGGAAGACATATTACAGAAATTGAGATGATTTTGACTGGTTTTACAATGAAAAGTACCTTGAAATTGAGCTCAAAGTAGCAGAAATGTTCGATTTTTACCGAAGTTCAAAAGTAAAGAAATCATGCCAAGCGTCCAATACACGTCAACTGGTGAGTCTAATATTCTTTCGCAAGTGCGCCAATATTATTTATACCATTTTTTACACTAATGCAGTAGTCTGCATAACAGTAAATCTTCTATTTTTTGTGAGAATAAAAATTCAAAGTGGAAAGCAAAAGAATGTAAGAGGGGCCTTGAGACGTGACTAATGAACAAAGGAAATGTCATTTTAGTGCCAGGAATGTCTTTCTTGTTTATTCTGGACCCTATTCGGAAATTGGCATCTTTTGAAATTTGTGTGAAATTGGCAAAATTGCTAAATTCTGACCACTGTACTGGATAGTTGAAATTGGTAAATGGGTGGTTTCTTGCACTCATTCAATAGAAAAAATGTTGTTCTAGCGAAATATTCATGTTTTTTGTCGACTAGTACAGTGGAATTGGCTGAAAATGGGGCTCGATGTGGGCAAAATCGCTGATGCGTAAACATCGCCAAGACCGCTAACTTCGCGAGAGCATAATTCCATAAGTTTTCCATCAAATTTCATACTTTTGGTGTCATTATGATCGAGAAAAGATTCTCTATCTTTTCATAAGAAAAAATTATCTTTTTTTTTTAATTTGGCCGACCCTGAGAACGAGTCTCGGAGAGGGCCTGTCGACCCTCAAAGGGTTAAATGTCATATATTACGTTAATATACACATTTCCATTAATCCATCCATGATATTTTTTTCAAAATTATATAATAAACACGATTCGTAACATATAAAGATGATAAATACACCCCACAATAGAATAAATAAACATAAATATGAGATGTGGGAGCCATACTTTTACAAGTGACGGCAAGAATAACATTTTCTCTAGTCCAACATCAGAGAAAATGTGTTACTGGGGGTAACTGTAGAAAATTATTCCTTTCGTATGTATGTAAGTTTATTCAGGTATACACAAACACGGTTACATAGATTATCATACATAACATCATATGTGTAGAGAACCCAGAATAACCCAAAAAAGTCAGACAGTGACTTGTTTCCATTGCCTTCACTCAGAGCGTTATTTCTTCTAAAAATGGTGTTGCATGAGAATGGGAGTGTTGTTCTTTATTTATTCTACCGTATCAATGTAGAGACAACTTGTACACAATGCAACTTGTACACAAACTAGACGTGTACACTTTGTTTACAAAACTTACGTTCGCCTGGTTTGTTTACATAACTCTGCGCCTGTCCTCTCTCATGTACTCATTCTCTCTCTCTCTTTTATTCATTTTATCTAGTTTACTCATCTCTGACCCTACATTAAGACTACAAATATTTTAAGGTAAGTAATGAATGAAATGTATATGCATTTTATTGCTCTGGGATGCTTAAATATCATAGAATAGTATGTGTGGGTGGGGTGGCCTGGTATGGTAGCCTGGCTTTCTACCATACATATCACACTTGATTGCTCACAATAAATACGTACTACTTATCTCACTCTAGATTAAGACTACAAATATTTTAAGGTAAGCAATGAGTGAACTGTATATGCATTTTATCGCTCTGGGATGCTTAAATGTAATAGAATATTATGTGTAGGTGGGGGTGGCCTGGTTTGGTAGACGGCTGACTACCATACATACCACACTTGATTTCTTACAATAAATACTACTTGTCTCACCCTAGATTAGGACTCCAAATATTTTAAGGTAAGTAATGAGTGCACTATATGTGTATTTTACTTTTTTATTGTTTTTTGATGCCTAGTTCTATTGCTAACTTAATATATGTTACTGTAAACTTGTTATCTAGTATTTGTATGCATTTATAAGGGGAAAAGAGGGGTGTTCCACTTTATGGCGATTTCCGCTTTATGGCGGTTGCCTGGAACCTAACCCGCAATATAAGTGGGGCCCTCCTGTACCTATTTTGACTTTCCTTAGCAATTATTTCTTTTGCTATCCAGTTGAAAGTTACCATATTTCAGGCTAACTTCATGGAGTTGCCAAGAGTGGAAACAGCAGCACTAGTTCCTCCATCACCACCAATGGGCATACGCCCTATACAGCTACGGGAGATTAAGGCACGTGGAAGATTCGGTGCAGTTTGGAAAGCTAATCTCTTTACAGATGTCGTTGCAGTCAAAATTTTTCCAATCCAGGTAAGGAATATCACTATTTTTACTAATTATACAATAATGTTTAGTTTTTTATTTCATAAATTAATTATTTTATATTCAGCACTGAAGTGAGTTTTGCATAAGCATTACTTGCATGAGTCCATCCTGATGTTTCATAGCTTCTAGCAACTGTTTTCTTTTTTTTTTTTCAATTAGTCCCTTATCCATGTTAACCCTTTGAGGGTCTGTCCCGTAGTTCTATGCCTTGTCCACAGGGTCCAAGAACTTAAAAAAAATTTTTTTTTATTTTTTCTTATGAAATGGTAGAGAATCTTTTTCTGAAGGTAAAAAAATGAAAAGTATGAAATTTGATGGAAAATTGATGAAATTACACTAATGATAATTTTGCTGCGTCAGCGATATTTATGCATCGGCGATTTTGCCCACTTTGACTTCTATTTTAGGCAAATTACGTTATTACAGTCGACCAAATTCTTAGCCATTTTGCTAGTATCACTTCTATTTTATTGATTGAGCACAAGAAACTGCCCAGTTGTCTATATCAACTACCCAATAAAGTGATCAGAAATTTGGCCAATTTCACACAAAGTTTAAAATATTCCAATTTCAAAATAGGGTCCAGAATAAATGGTACAGGTATTCCTGGCACTAAAATAACATTTCCTCCGTTTATTAATTATGTTTCCAGGCTTTACCCATGAATTCCATTTTTATTTTTTTCATATAAATGATTTTTATTCATACCAAAAAATATCAGATTTACTGTTATGCAGTATTGAAATAATATCACTGCATTTGTGAATGTACATTAGACCCCCAGCTGACGTGTATTGGGCATGTGATGTGATTTGTTTCCTCTTGAACATCAGCAAAGATCGAACATTTTGGCTACTTTGAGCTCAATTTCAAGCTATTTTGAGTATTAAAACCAATCAAAATCATCTCCATTTCTGTAAAATATCTTCCATTCTATCAAATGAAACCAAGAAACCGTGAATACAACCATAAAAACAATACGAAAATACACCGCAAAGTTGCTGTTTTACCAAAAACACGATCACAGTTTTTTCTCATTGTGCACTGCGTCGTGCAGGACTTGTTTTATATGGTGCACACTTAGCACATAGATGCATTCTCATATCTGGGCCCAAATTTACTGCTCACAGCTTATCTGAGTGAGCTGAGCTTATGACATAGTTTTACGGCTTGGACCCTGGCTTCTGAGCCTTAGAACTACAGGGTGGACCTTCAGAGGGTTAATACTTTTGCCTTTATTATAGTTTGCTTTTCCAGTGTACACAGTGACTGCTTGCCAGCTTTGCTAGCTTGGAATTCATTCCTTGCTCTCATCTGTTCATTAAAATATTGCTTTAGTTATGAATTTTAGATTAAATCCACTCATTCCTCCCTTCCACTGGACATTTGTGAGTAATATATGTGCTCTTAGAAGATAGCTAGATGGTGAGTGACAGTGAATGGTGAGTCACCCAACCTGGCAGGAAAATTACAATTTTTTTTTTTTTGCGACACTAGCCATCTCGTACCAAAGCAGGGTGACATGAAAAAGAATAACTTTCACTATCATTCACACTCATTGTCTTGCCAGAGGCTTGTAGATATGACAGTTCAGATGTCCCTTCAAACAGCAGGTATCCCAAGCCCCTCCTTTAGAGTGCAGGCACTGTACTTTCCACCTCCAGGACTCAAGTGCAGCTAACCAGTTTCCGTAAATCCCTTCACAAATTATTAACTTACACTCCAGTGTATTTTTCTTTTATAAAACTTTTTAAACCTTTAATATATTTTCCATTTGCTCACAGTGGGTGCAGTATGAATTATTTCTCTGTGCTTAAATATTAAAATTAGGAAAGTGCTTCAGAGATACTTGGATAAATCTAATTGATTTAAAATAAGAAATTTGTGTATATGTGATGTAAGATTGTTTACATTTTTTGTGGAAATAAATGGTATAAAATACCGACACAATGGCAATATAAACACAAATGCAGTATAATGTGATCCTTTATTGACTACGTTTCGCCCACTGTGTGGGCGAAACGTAGTCAATAAAGGATCACATTATACTGCATTTGTGTTTATATTTACATTTTTTGTAATTTTTAGAGAATTGTCCTCTGGATCTAATGTTATGTATTTAAATTTCTGTCTTCCATTTTTTCATAGGACAAGCAGTCTTGGTTAGTAGAAAAAGAAGTTTACTCTCTCCCTCAAATGTCCCATGAAAATGTGCTGCAGTTCATTGGGGCAGAGAAACATGGGGATAATCTTCAATCAGAATTTTGGCTTATTACTGCTTATCATGAACGAGGCTCTCTGTGTGACTACCTCAAGGTGAGTAGCTAAATGCTATTTACAACGTGTAACATTACTTTTGATTAATAAAAATTGTAGTCATTGTAATGGATAATTATATTAAGAAATCTGCATACCTAGCACCTTAATTTAAATTTTTATTAATAAATCTGCATACCAAGCAACTTATTTTTTTACTGGATGAGTGAAAGTTTAAATACTGCAAATTTTGTAGTATGGTAAAGTGGTGTACAGTACTGAATATGATTTTTGTACTTAAGGAGAAACCCTTAGTGTAACAACTCCCATTAACTTATTAAGGAACAGGGAAAATTTAAAAAAAAGTATAGTAAACAGAATATAATAGTTATTGCTGCAGTTTTTGTGACATTTAAAAAAAGCTGAATGCAGTAGTAGGGCTAATATTTTTATTGAGTTAGAGCTAAAAAAGGAGTAGCAATAATGTTGAAGGATAAGCTATGGCAGGAAAAGAGGGACTATAAATGTATTAATTCAAGGATTATGTGGTGTAAAATATAGGTTGGATGTGAAAAGTGGGTTATAGTAAGCATATATGCACCTAGAGAAGAGAGAAGTGTAGAAGAGAGAGAGAGATTTGGGGAAATGTTGAGTGAATGTGTGGGGAGTTTTCAACCAAGTGTGAGAGTACTTGTGGTTGGGGATTTCAATGCTTAAGTGGGTAAAAATGTTGTGGAGGGAGTAGTAGGTAAATTTGGGGTGCCAGGGGTAAATGAAAATGCAGAGCCTTTAATTGAGCTATGTGTAGAAAGAGGTTTGGTAATAAGTAATACATATTTTATGAAAAAGAGAATAAATAAATATACAAGGTAAGATATAGCACGTAATGAAAGTAGTTTGTTAGATTATGTATTGGTGGATAAAAGGTTGATTGATAGGCTCCAGGAAGTACACATTTATAGAGGGGCAACGATATATCGGATCATTATATAGTTGTAGCTACAGTTAGAGTAAGAGGTAGATAGGACAAGAGGAAAATGGCAACAGCAAATAAGAGGGAGGTGAAAGTGTATAAACTAAGGGAGGAGGAAGTTTGGGTGAGATATAAGCAACTATTGGCAGAAAGGTGGGCTGGTGCAAGTATGAGTAGTGGGAGGGTTGAAGAGGGTTGGAATAGTTTTAAAAATGCAGTATTAGAATGTGGGGCAGGAGTTTGTGGTTATAGGAGGGTGGGGGCAGGAGGAAAGAGGAGTGATTGGTGGAATGATGAAGTGAAGGGTGTGATAAAAGATAAAAAGGTAGCTTTTGAGAGGTTTTTACAAAGCAGAAGTGTTATAAGAAGAGCAGAGTGTATGGAGAGTAAAAGAAAGGTGAAGAGAGTGGTGAGAGAGTGCAAAAGGAGAGTAGATGATAGGGTGGTAGAGGCACTCAAGAAATTTTAATGAAAATAAGAAAAAAATTTGGAGTGAAACAAGTTAAGAAAGCCTTGGGAACGAATGGATTTGTCAGTTAAAAATAGAGTAGGGGAGTTAGTAGATGGGGAGATGGAGGTACTGGGTAGATGGCGAAAATATTTTGAGGAACTTTTAAACGTTGACGAAGAAAGGGAGGTGGTAATTTCATGCACTGACCAGGGAGGTATACCATCTTTTACGAGTGAAGAAGAACAGGATGTGAGTGTGGAGGAGGCTCGTGAGGCATTACGTAGAATGAAAGGGGGTAAAGCAGCTGGAACTTACGGGATCATGACAGAAATGTTAAAAGCGGGGGGGGGGGGGGGGGGGGGGGGGGTATAGTGTTGGAGTGGTTGGCATTTTTGTTTAATAAATGTCTAAGGGCAATGTGTGGTGTAAATGGTATACAGAAAATTCAGAGTGTGGAAATTGGGAGATGGTGTGGAGTTAATAAAAGTATTAGTCAGAGGGCTGAAGAAGGGTTGTTAAGGTGTTTTGGTCATTTAGAGAGAATGGATCAAAGTAGAATGACATGGAGTGTGTATAAATCTGTAGGGGAAGCAAGGCAGGGTAGGGGTCGTCCTCAAAATGGTTGGAGGGAGGGGGTAAAGGAGGTTTTGTGGGTGAGGGGCTTGGACTTCCAGCAAGTGTGCATGAGCGTGTTAGATAGGAGTGAATGGAGACAAATGGTATTTGGGACCTGACGAGCTGTTGGAGTGTGAGCAAGGTAATATTTAGTGAAGGGATTCGGGGAAACCGGTTATTTTTATATAGCCAGACTTGAGTCCTGGAAATGGGAAGTACAATGCCGGCAATTTAAAGGAGGGGTTTGGGATAATGGCAGTTTGGAGGGATATGTTGTGTATCTTTATACGCATATGCTTTTAAACTGTTGTATTATGAGCACCTCTGCAAAAACAGTGATTATGTGTGAGTGAGGTGAAAGTGTTGAATGATGATGAAAGTATATTCTTTTTGGGGATTTTCTTTCTTTTTGGGTCACCCTGCCTTGGTGGGAGACAGCCGACTTGTTAAAAAAAAAAACTGTATTTAGATATGTAAGTGAATATGGTACAGTAGTCCCTGGGGAAACTTGACTTTAGGCCTGGTTATAACACCTTTGTGCTCAATCACTGTCTTGCCAGAAGGGCGCCAACATCACAGTTCAGATGACCTTCCAAACCGTAACATCCCCACCCCTCCTGCATAGTGCATGCTAGGTGCTTTCCACCTCCTGTACTCAGGTCCGGCTAACCAGTTTTCCCTGGATCCCTTTATAAATGTTACTTTGTTCACTCTCCAACAGCAGGTCAAATTATTAAAACCTCTTTCTTCCACTCACTCCTATGTAACACACTTTTACAAGCCTGTGGGATGTCCAAGTTCCTAGCACTCGAAACCTCCTTCGCCTCCTCCCTCCAACCTTTCCTAGTACAACCCTTCACCCTCCTTCCCTCCACCCCAGATTTATACACTCTCCTAGTCATCATGTTTTTCCTTCAACCACTCTAAATGTTCAAACCGCTTCAAGAATCCTTCCTCAGCCCTCTGAATAATACTTTTGGTGACTACACATCTGATCTTCAAATTGAACTGTAGTGTAGGCACACCTCTGGCAAGAGATTGTTGGAGTAAGTGATGAAAGTTTTTTTTTTTTGGGGGGGGGGGATCACCCTGCCTTGGTGGGAAACAACTGATGTGTTTATTAGTCTGTTGTTATAAATATATATACTGTGGTATTTTAATATTCATAATTGATGATATATCTACTTTAAATTTTGTGTTTTATATTTCAGGCAAACTTAGTAACTTGGAATGAACTGTGTAAAATTGGCGAGTCAATGGCACGGGGTCTAATGTATGTGCATGAAGAGCAGCCGGCAACTAAATGTGAAGCTCTTAAACCCTCAATTGCCCATCGAGATTTCAAAAGCAAAAATGTTTTGCTTAAAGCAGATTTGTCTGCCTGCATTGCTGATTTTGGCCTAGCTTTGGTCTTCCACCCTGGACAGTCAGCTGGTGATACGCATGGGCAGGTAGGAGAAAATACACAGTGTCATCATAAAATTCAAATTTCTTGGCATACTGTTGTTAATTTATTGTGTTCTGTATTTTTGTATGCATTTAGTGTCTTTCTATACATCTTTAACCCTTAAACTGCCCAAATGTAGATCTACATTTGTTCTGCTAGTGCTCCAAACGTAGATCTATGTTTGTACTGCTAGTGCTCCAAACGTAGATCTTCATTTTATTTTTCCTGCCTCCAAATTTGGCACGATTGGCCTGAGATGCCTGGTCAGTATAGAATGGGTCTTAACGCATGGTGTGCACTTAGTATCTTCTGGGAGCACCAGCTAGAGCAAATAGCGTGGCAAACACCAGGGATTCACTGATGTCATGTTGTATTAACACTCCCCTTTTAAGAGGAGAGTGATGTTGACCCAGAGTTTGGTAGCTTTGAGATGGATGTGGCCACAAGTGGTCAAGGAAATATCTAAAACCTCGATAATAACCCATGTGCAACATCCTTTCATTTCTGATACCACTGGTAGTGGCATCCTGCCAGAATGTCCTATAACCTATGCCCTAAGTAAAGAGAAATGATCCTGGAATGTGTAATACGTATTTGGCAGGCTGGCCGGCTGACCAACTGACTGACTTTGGCTCTCTGTCTGTATCTGTCTTTGTTTATATCTCTGTCTCTGTCTCTCATAAGTACACAAGTACAGTTATTACACATAGTGTAAATTACCTAGGATAACCCAAAAATTTCAGGCAAAGTGCTATACAGTGCTTGTAGATCTAAGGCATAATAAGCATGACTGGTAAGTAATACACATTTTCACTTGATCAGGAATCAGACATGACGACTCTGCATTGTGTGTAATACCTGTTGGATTGCGAGCTGCTCCCTGAGACAGAGAGACAAGCAGACGGAAAGACACACACACAGGCAGACAGATAAGCAGAGCTAGGCAGACATAGACAGATAGACAGACAGACAGACATGTTTGTGTGTAACATTGAAAACAAATAAAGCTAGGGTTCCCTGGAGCAGTGCATGTTCATCAAGTGTCACTCCACTGCTGCACTGTCAGCAATTTAGTGACACTCGTCTTAACACCATTCTTCAAGGAGTTTCATATATACTCCAGTTTGTCTAAAACATTGCTGAGATCTATAAATACTTTCTATATATTTCTAGATAATAGTAAATGACCAAGGCAGGTGAAAATGTTCATATGTCAGTGTGTTTGTGACTATTTGAATATTATTTCAATACCTAATATTAGTGTCAGAACGAAGATTGGCTATGAAATCACAAGAATTACTATAAATTGCAATTATCAGAACATATGATAGAGTGAGTAGGGGAGCAGTGTGGCAGATGTTGCAAGTATATGGAATAGGTGGTAAGTTATTAAATGCTGTAAAGAGTTTTTATGAGGATATTGAGGCTCAGGTTAGGGTGTGTAGAAGAGAGGGAGACTACTTCCCGGTAAAAGTAGATCTTAGACAGGGATGTGTAATGTCACCATGGTTGTTTAATATATTTATAGATGGAGTTGTAAAAAAGTAAATGCTAGGGTGTTTGGGAGAGGGGTGGGATTAAATTATGGGGAATCAAATACAAAATGGGAGTTGACACAGTTACTTTTTGCTGATGATACTGTGCATGTGGGAGATTCTAAAGTAAAGTTGCAAAGGTTAGTGGACAAGTTTGGGAGAGAGTGTAGAGGTAGAAAGTTGAAAGAGAACATAGAAAAGAGTAAAGTGATGAGGGTATCAAATTTTTTTTTTTTTTTTTTTTTTTCAACAAGTCGGTCGTCTCCCACCGAGGCAGGGTATCAAATGTTGTAGATAAAGAAAAATTGGATATCAAAATGGAGAGAAGGAGTATGGAAGAAGTGAATGTTTTCAGATATTTGGGAGTTGACATATCAGCAGATGGGTTTATGAAGGATGAGGTTAAACATAGAATTGATGAAGGAAAAAGGTGAGTGGTGCGTTGAGGTATATGTGGAGACTAAGAAACATTATCTATGGAGGCAAAGAAGGGAATGTATTAAAGTATAGTGGTACCAACTCTTATATGGGTGTGAAGCTGGGGTTGTAAATGCTGCAGAGAGGAGGCAGTGGAGATGTCCTGTGTAAGGGCAATGTGTGGTGTAAATATTATGCAGAGAATTCGGAGTGTGGAAACTAGAAGGTGTGGAGTTAATAAAAGTATTAGTCAGAGGGCTAAAGAGGGGTTGTTAAGGTGGTTTGGTCATTTAGAGAGAATGGATCAAAGTAGAATGACATGGAGAGCGTATAAATCTGTAGAGGAAGGAAGGCGGGGTAGGGTTGTCCTCAAAAAGGTTGGAGGGAGAGGGTAAAGGAGGTTTTGTGGGCGAGGGGCTTGGGCTTCCAGCAAGCGCGTGTGAGCATGTTAGATAGGAGTGAATGGAGACGAATGGTATTTGGGACTTGACGAGCTATTGGAGTGTGAGCAGGGTAATATTTAGTGAAGGGATTCAGGAAAACCGGTTATTTTTATATAGCCAGACTTAAGTACTGGAAATGGGAAGTACAATGCCTGCACGTTAAAGAAGGGGTTTTGGAATATTGGCAGTTTGGAGGGATATGTTGTGTATCTTTATACGTATATGCTTCTGAACTGTTGTATTCTGGGCGCCTCTGCAAAAACAGTGCTTATGTATGAGTGAGGTAAGTGTTGAATGATGATGAAAATATTTCCTTTTTGGGGATTTTCTTTCTTTTTGGGTCACCCTGCCTTGGTGGGAGACGGCCTACTTGTTGAATTTTTTTTTTTTTTTTTTTTTTTTTTTTCAACAAGTCGGCCGTCTCCCACCGAGGCAGGGTGACCCAAAAAAAAAGAAAGAAAATCCCCAAAAAGAAAATACTTTCATCATCATTCAACACTTTCACCACACTCACACATTATCACTGCTTTTGCAGAGGTGCTCAGAATACAACAGTTTAGAAGCATATACGTATAGAGATACACAACATATCCCTCCAAACTGCCAATATCCCAAACCCATCCTTTAAAGTGCAGGCATTGTACTCCCATTTCCAGGACTCAAGTCCGACTATATGAAAATAACCGGTTTCCCTGAATCCCTTCACTAAATATTACCCTGCTCACACTCCAACAGATCGTCAGGTCCCAAGTATCATTCGTCTCCATTCACTCCTATCTAACACGCTCATGCACGCTTGCTGGAAGTCCAAGCCCCTCACCCACAAAACCTCCTTTACCCCCTCTTTCCAACCCTTTCGAGGACGACCCCTACCCCTCTTTCCTTCCCCTATAGATTTATATGCTTTCCATGTCATTCTACTTTGATCCATTCTCTCTAAATGACCAAACCACCTCAACAACCCCTCTTCTGCCCTCTGACTAATGCTTTTATTAACTCCACACCTTCTCCTAATTTCCACACTCCGAATTTTCTGCATAATATTTACACCACACATTGCCCTTAGACAGGACATCTCGACTGCCTCCAACCGTCTCCTCGCTGCTGCATTTACCACCCAAGCTTCACATCCATATAAGAGTGTTGGTACTACTATACTTTCATACATTCCCTTCTTTGCCTCCATAGATAACGTTTTTTGACTCCACATATACCTCAACGCACCACTCACCTTTTTTCCCTCATCAATTCTATGATTAACCTCATCCTTCATAAATCCATCCGCCGACACGTCAACTCCCAAGTATCTGAAAACATTCACTTCTTCCATACTCCTCCTCCCCAATTTGATATCCAATTTTTCTTTATCTAAATCATTTGATACCCTCATCACCTTACTCTTTTCTATGTTCACTTTCAACTTTCTACCTTTACACACATTCTCAAACTCATCCACTAACCTTTGTAATTTTTCTTTAGAATCTCCCATAAGCACAGTATCATCAGCAAAAAGTAACTGTGTCAATTCCCATTTTGAATTTGATTCCCCATAATTTAATCCCACCCCTCTCCCGAACACCCTAGCATTTACTTCTTTTACAACCCCATCTATAAATATATTAAACAACCATGGTGACATTACACATCCCTGTCTAAGACCTACTTTTACTGGGAAGTATTCTCCCTCTCTTCTACACACCCTAACCTGAGCCTCACTATCCTCATAAAAGCTCTTTACAGCATTTAGTAACTTACCACCTATTCCATATACTTGCAACATCTGCCACATTGCTCCTCTATCCACTCTATCATATGCCTTTTCTAAATCCATAAATGCAATAAAAACTTCCCTACCTTTATCTAAATACTGTTCACATATATGCTTCAATGTAAACACTTGATCTACACATCCCCTACCCACTCTGAAGCCTCCTTGCTCGTCCGCAATTCTACATTCTGTCTTACCTCTAATTCTTTCAATTATAACCCTACCGTATACTTTTCCTGGTATACTCAGTAAACTTATTCCTCTATAATTTCTACAATCTCTTTTGTCCCCTTTCCCTTTATATAAAGGGACTATACATGCTCTCCGCCAATCCCTAGGTACCTTCCCCTCTTTCATACATTTATTAAACAAAAGTACCAACCACTCCAACACTATATCCCCCCTGCTTTTAACATTTCTGTCATGATCCCATCAGTTCCAGCTGCTTTACCCCCTTTCATTTTACGTAATGCCTCACGTACCTCCACCACACTTACATTCCGCTCTTCTTCACTCCTAAAAGATGGTATACCTCCCTGGCCAATGCATGAAATTACCGCCTCCCTTTCTTCCTTAACATTTAAAAGTTCCTCAAAATATTCTCGCCATCTACCTAATACCTCCCTCTCCCCATCTACTAACTCCCCTACTCTGTTTTTAACTGACAAATCCATACTTTCCCTAGGCTTTCTTAACTTGTTTAACTCACTCCAAAATTTTTTCTTATTTTCATTAAAATTTCTTGACAGTGCCTCTCCCACTCTTTCATCTGCTCTCCTTTTGCACTCTCTCACCACTCTCTTCACCTTTCTTTTACTCTCCATATACTCTGCTCTTCTTATAACACTTCTGCTTTGTAAAAACCTCTCGTAAGCTACCTTTTTCTCTTTTATCACATATATAAATTAAAATAAAAACAAGAAAAAAGGTATATCAGCAACACTTATGCAAGCAGCAGGACTCAATGTTGCCATCAGGTGAGCATTCAGCGCCAACTTCGTGGTCTTATATCTCCGTAAGTACTGATCCTAAAATTTTTTTTTGTCTTATTACACACAGAAAATTGCCCTCTTTAATTTAAAAAAAAAAAATTTTTTTTTGCTTTTTTCAAAATATTTGGAGCGCTGGCAGTGAAAACACAGATCTGCATTTGGACAGTTTAAGGGTTAAGTAACAAACTGGTGGAGGAAAAGAAGTGAGCCTATGAAACAGTAATATAATTTTTATTTCCAGTATTGGAAGACATTGTGGTGCATAATCATTTCTTATACAGTGGGGCCCTGACTTACAAGGTTCCAAGTTACAAAGTTTCACACTTAAGACATTGGCATTTTGGAATTCATTAATTACAAATAATGCCTCACTTCTGACACTGGGACAACTGTTATTAATGACAACAGTTTGTTGAACTATGTTTTTTTTTTTTTTTATTAACACACTGTCCGATTCTCACCAAGGCAGGGTGGCCCGAAAAAGAAAAACTTTCACCATCATTCACTCCATCACTGTCTTGCCAGAAGGGTGCTTTACACTACAGTTTAAACTGCAATATTAACACCCCTCCTTCAGAGTGCAGGCACTGTCCTTCCCATCTCCAGGACTCAAGTCCTGCCTGCCGGTTTCCCTGAATCCCTTCATAAATGTTACTTTGCTCACACTCCAACAGCACGTCAAGTATTAAAAACCATTTGTCTCCATTCACTCCTATCAAACACGCTCACGCATGCCCGCTGGAAGTCCAAGCCCCTTGCACACAAAACCTCCTTTACCCCCTCCCTCCAACCTTTCCTAGGCCGACCCCTACCCCGCCTTTCTTCCACTACAGACTGATACACTCTTGAAATCATTCTGTTTTGCTCCATTCTCTCTGCATGTCCAAACCACCTCAACAACCCTTCCTCAGCCCTCTGGACAACAGTTTTGGTAATCCTGCACCTCCTAACTTCCAAACTACGAATTCTCTGCATTATATTCACACCACACATTGCCCTCGGACATGACATCTCCACTGCCTCCAGCCTTCTCCTCGCTGGTGGATAAAAGGATGATGGTTCGACTTTTGGATATGCATGTTTATAGAGGACCAGCAGATATATCAGATAATTTAGTTCTAGCTTCAGTGAGAGTAAGATGCAGATGGAGTTCATGGATAATGGCATCAGTGAGTAAGAGAGAGGTGAAAGTTTATATACTTTATTTAACAAGTGCTGTCTCCCACCTAGGCTGGGTGACCTGAAAAAGAAGAATTGTAAAGTTTTTCTTCTTTTTTACATTTAATAATTTATACAGGAGAAGGGGTCACTAGCCCCTTGCTCCTGGCATTTTAGTCGCCTTTTACGACATGCATGGCATGGGGAGTAATTTGGAAGGGTATGTAAATGGAGGAAATTAAAAGTGAACATAAGACAGAGCAAGGTGATGAGGGTAACAAATCATTTAAGTAATGGAAGATTGGATATTTGATTGGAAGGAGGGAGTATAGAGGAAGTGAATGTGTTCATATATGTGGGAGTGAACTAGTTGGCAGATAGGTTTATGAAAGATGAGGTGAACCATAGAATTGATGAAGGAAAAATAGTGGGTGGTGCATTGAGGCACCTGTGGAGACAAAGAACATTATCCAGGGAGGCAAAAAGGGGAATATATGAAAGGATAGTGGCACTAACACTTGTATGGGTGTGAAGTATGGGTTGTGAATGTTGAAGTAAGGAGGAGGCTGGAGGTACTGGAGATGTTGTCTGAGGGTAATGTGTGGTGTAAACATTGTGCAGAGAATTCATAGTTTGGAGATTAGGCGGAGGTGCGGTATTACTATAAGTATTATCCAGAGGGCTGAGGAATGGTTGTTGAGGTGGTTTGGACATATAAAGAGGTTGGAGCAAAATAGGATAACTTGGAGGATGTATAAATCTGTAGCTGAGGGAAGGCAGGGTAGGGGGTTACCCTAGGGATGGTCAGAAGGAGGGGGCAAAGGATGTTTGTGTGCTAGAGGCTTGGACATCCAGCAGGTGTGTGGGATGTTTTTAGATAAGAGTGAGTGAAGACAAATGATTTTTGGAACTTGCAAGCTGTTGGAGTGTGAGCAAGGTAACATTTTGTGAAGGATTTAGGGAAACCAGTTAGCCAGACTTGAATCCTGAAGATGGGAAGTACAGTGCCTGGACTCTAAAGGAGGGATGGGATATTTGTTTTCTGGAGGGTCATTTGAACTGTCTTTATCTGTGCACCTTTGGCAAGACAGTGATAGAGTGAATGATGGTGAAAGTGTTTCTTCTTTTTCAGGTTACCCTGCCTCACACACTATAATTTTTTATTAACACAGCAACTTTGCAGTGTTTTTTCGTATGTTTTTTATAGTTGTATTTGCGATTTCTTGGTCTCATTTGATAGAATGGAAGATATATTACAGAAATAGAGCTGATATTGATTGGTTTTAGTATTGAAAATGGCTTGAAACTGAGCTTAAAGTAGCAGAAATGTTAAATTTTTGCTGATGTTCAAGAGTAAACAAATGACCTCACACACACATACACGCCAGCTGGTGGGTCTAATATACGTTTACAAATGTGCTGATATTATTTATACAATTATTACAATATTGCATGACAGTAAATCTTCTATTTTTTGGTTTGAATAAAAATTCATTATGTGAATTAAAAATCAAAATGGAATTCATTTGTAAGGTCTGAAAATGTAACTAATGAACAGAAGAAATGTTAGTTTAGTGCCAGGAATGCATGCATTGTTTATTCTGGACCTAGTTTTGAAATTGGAATATTTTGAACTTTGAACTTAATTGGCCAAATTGACAATTTCCAATCACTTTATTTTGTAATTGAAACAGCTGAGTTGGCAATTTCTTGTGCTCACTCGATAGAATAGAAGTAATACTAGTGAAATAGCTAAGAATTTGATCAACTGGAATAATGTAATTGGCCTAAAATGGGAGTCAAAAGTCGGCAAAATCGCCGATGCGTAAATATCTCTGACACATCAAAATTCGCGAGAGCATAATTTCGTCAATTTTCCATCAAATTTCGTACTTTTTGTTTTATTATCTTCAGAAAAAGATTCTCTATCATTTCATAAGAAAAAATAAAATTATTTTTTGAAAATTCTTGGACACTGGTGTGCACTTTGAAATTTGGCCTCTGGACCCCTTGAAAGGGAAGGGTTTGGGAATATTGGCAGTTTAGAGTGACTATCTAAACTGTTATATCTGGGTGTGTCTGCAAAGACAGTGATTATACATGAGTGATGGTGAATGTGTTGACTGATAATGAAAGTTTTTTCTTTCTTTTTGGGTTTTTCTTTTTTCTTTTGGGTCACCCTGCCTTGGTGGGAAATGGCTGACATGTTGACAAAAAAAAAAAAAAAAAAGATTATCCATATGTAAAAGTTAAATGTATTTACTTCTTTGTTAGGTTGGCACTCGACGGTATATGGCTCCAGAGGTATTGGAGGGTGCAATTAACTTCCAGCGTGATGCCTTCCTTCGAATTGATATGTATGCCTGTGGTCTAGTGCTGTGGGAAATTCTCTCAAGATGTTCAAGTGAGCTTTCACTAGACTTATGTTGTACTTATGTACAGTTAACCATTTATGTAGATTGATGAAATAGTAGAATATAAAATCCAGAAAAATGGAATCTACACTGTTCTGGTGAATTGTTTTAAATTAAAGTATAAACTGTTATTCTTGATGTATGTAGATAGAAATAATATAGAAAAGTGTTATATACACATTTTCTTGTGCATTACAAATGTTTTATTAATTGTTGATATAAGTCTACAAATTTTAAATATAATTGCTAAAAAGTTTTAAAAGCCATTAAAAGTAAAGTATTTTGATTGAAATGACATAATTATAATAATGTCTTCAATTTAACAGGCCAAGATGGTCCTGTACCTGAATACCACTTACCATTTGAGGAAGAGGTTGGACAGCACCCTACTCTGGATGATATGCAAGAGTGTGTTGTCACCCAAAAGACACGCCCTGTTATTCGGGATGTCTGGCGCAAGAATGCAGTATGTACATTGTTCAGTATGCTTTAGTTGTAAAAAGCTTTAGAATGGTTTTTAAAATAGTAACTGCAGCATATGTTATGTCCTGTAATAGAGGCTACAGTAAAGGTGAATTTCCTCTTGAAGGACTTATGATCAGAGATGTGTACTAGGAAAGACAAAAATTTCACAGTTAATTGATAGCTGAAATAATAAGTTTTCAATTGTATTTTTCTAGGCCATGATGGCATTAATTGATACAATGGAAGAATGCTGGGACCACGATGCCGAGGCTCGTCTCTCTGCTTCCTGTGTTGTAGAAAGGCTGGCCATTTACTCAAAAAACCTACACCTTTCCCCTACCTCAAATCCACAGAAGGAATCGAGCATATAAGGCGAGTTGAGTTGAGTTCTGAATTGCTGAGTGCAAGTTTATAATTTGGAAATGGATTGTTACTTGAGCTTCCATATCTCTTAGTAGTTAATTTATAATTTACCTTTTTATAGAGCAAGACCTGGGCTTGTCAATGCTGGTAATTAGCTTATAAGTCATATTACTTAAAACCTAGCATAAATTTGATTTACTTAATCAGTTTCTCTGGAAATACAATTACTAATCATATAAAAATCAGGCTACTTGAATTAAAAGAAAGTGAAGGTAAATTCCTGGGCATACACCTAGATAAAAAAAACATAAGTTCACCACCTACATCTAGCACACATCAAATAAATTATAGTAAAAAGTGAGCATTCTTTCAAAGAGTTGCTATATTACATAACCTACATTAAATAAGAGAGATGTATGCAGCACCTTAAGTGCATTGATATATGCGCTACTTATCCTAGTTCCCTCATTTATAATTTCGGATAATTCTATTTATTTCAGGCCATTATGTGGTGGCCATGTACCTGGACAAGTACCTGTGCTGTAACCGCCTATTATGGGTCCTGGTGCGGGAGAGAGCCCAGCTACCATGTCCCACAGGCACCAGCTGTGTTGGGGGCCTAGTGAACCGTGTGTCTGCCTCATTACCCCCCTCCCTTCAAGAGTTTCACACAGCCAGCTTCCTGAACATTTAGTTTCTCTTGTTACAGCAAAGGTTAGCTGGCCTAAGGTTTGGGCTAAAGGGACTTCACCTGAAAAATGCACTCCATTCTCTCAGCATCTAAATTTGGTACTGATAGGTGAGAGGCTATGTAAGTCAGTCAGATGTCTTCCGGTTATTAATTAGTGCAATAGTTTGATATCCTTGGCGGTGCTTAAAATGCATTTTGTTAATAACTTGCGAAAATGTAAAATGAATTTTTTTTGGAGTCCTTGTGTCCAACCATATGATCTGGCTTGTGTGGTTGGGAGAGGGGGGGGGGGGAAGGCTTTGTGTGGTGCTAAAGGGGTCAACAGGGAAGTGCTTGGACTACTATGAAGAGCCGCCAAACAGAAGGTACCTCATAAGAACATACTCCATGGCTTCATAACTCCACTGGGGTTAAGGTACTCCTCAAACATCTGTGACACAGCTATTAATGATCAATAGTATTTTATTGTGTATCAATGCAAGAAGTTCATGGATGTACCTAGACAGAAAACTAAAGTATTTCAAGTCTTTCTCGACATCAACGTATTTTCACGGACTGTCATAATTTAAAGATGAAATTGATTTTGAATATATAAGCCCAAGTATTTTCAGCAGCTATGTGCTCAGGAAATGAGTTGGAATTTTCAAACCAATAGGGATAAAAAAAAAACATTTCTGAAGATAAAAATCAAATCTTGTTAAAAATTAATCAATTTATTGAACTCATTTTCTCAAATTGGCACAAGAAAACCCACTAATGGGAGTATTTCACCTCAGGAATTCCCTTCCAAGAGTCCCCACTGCCAGAGTTAGTTCCTTGAGTTGAGTACCAGCTAGGTGGGGTTTATAATAATATGTAAGTACTTTTTTGGGATTGCTCCCAATTTTATGGTTCTGCATTTTCTTAATATGAATGTGTCTGGTTTTTGTGCATTAAAACTTTGGAGTGAATACTGTATAATGATAATAGTATCACAGTTTGTTAGCAAATGTTCTTTTTACAAAAAAAAAAAAAAAGAGACTTGATTTCTAGAGCTAAGATCAGCATACTTTGCATCCAGCCATTTTTGCAGCTCATAGTGCACCTTAAAGCTCAACTCAGTAACTCAGGCATAAGGAAAAATTATGGTTGCGCCCTCCTGGCAAGTGTTTTAAAAAGAGTGTGTGGAAAAATGGGTATGGAATCGTTAATCCATCTGCCAATAAATACCATTTTCTTAATTATACATTTAATCATCATAAAAACAAGGATGGAGTTGAAGTATTAGAATATTAATCTTTGGAATTATCAAATAAGATTATAATGAAATTGAGGTGTGAAAAATTAGTATTTTAGTGTCATTTAATAATATAAATAACTGTCATGTTATCTATTTGATAATGAAAAATATAGTGATGTGTCTAGAGCCAGTCGTACAAAATATATTGTAAATTTAGTGAAGTGATGGATTATGACGAGCCTGCCCAGAAAAATGTGTTACCTAAGGCCTATGGAGGGCCTTGATTGGGCTGCCCTTTAACTGTCAGCTCAGGATACCCTTCAGTGACCACCCTGTTACCACTTTGCCCCCACACACGTACATACCCTCATCCTGTATATATTTGCGCCTTGTTTGCAGCATTACAGAAGTTGTCGCCAGCAAAATGGAACTAGTGATTAATTTAATGTGGTTTATTTGTGAAACCAATGGTGCTTTTTTTCTTGTATCTCGAAGATGAATGTTAACTGTTGTATAATGAAGCCAACCTGAGTGAGGAAACTAAGGAACATTGCTCACTCACCATTGTAAATACCTCATGCCTGTACACAACATCATGACCTATGGTATCCAGACCTCACCATGACAAATCATGAGTGCTTATGTTCTAATTACTATTGCCTCTTGCTTGTAGATGGAAGGAATTCTCTTTTTCATGGGAACTTTGTAAGATGGCTATTGGATAATCTTGCATAAGGGCCCAGATTATTGGTTGATGTATTGAAAATATGAAAATTTAAATATATGCAGTAAAGGTTAAACTTTTATGAACAGTTACAAGAGGCTGGAATACCACAAATCAGACACGAACACTGAAAAGACGGTGCGAAAGTCACTTGTGAATTAACTCATCTTCCATATGAAACTTGAATTCAGGTTGTGGTGAAGTGAAGGACATGAGCCAAAGAATGATAAAAGTAAGGACTGGATCCGTCATGTGATAGACTGGATACGTATGGGGACTCCTGGGCAGCTCCCACATGCCCAAGGAGAAACCACTTTGTCATGAAGACAAGACTGTGTATGGGGGATATTGTTTATTTTTTCTTAAATTTATTTTTAAATTATGTTCATTTGTTAGGGATCCCCCCATGCTTGTTGTTCCTTGCAGGCATTAGTGTGCCTCTTGTATGTATCCATTGTAGTAGCATAAAATTCATTATTGTAAAGTTATTCCCCATAAAATAAGAGGTGAAATGCTGGATCAGGTCTATGAAGTGAGCTTATTACAATGAACTCGGATTATTCGTGTTTAGTTTAAAAGGTTGCAAGTGATTGTGATTGTAATGGTTTCTTGACAAGTCTCTAGAAATATGGCAGTAACATGGTAGGAAAATATTTAAAGCTTCAGTCATAAATCACTGATACTTCAGCATAAAACATTTTTAGACATTTTATCACTTCATTAGACAAGGGATCTGCATGGAGCCATTTAAGCTGAAGATATATTAGGGAAGAATCCCAAGTATTTTAGACATAAATTGGCTTGCTAAGTTAGGGGCAGTTAATAATTGGTAAAGCAGATTTGATGGGCTCTTTCCCATTGTCATAGACATAATTTAATTATTAAAAATTTCTCCATATGATACTTAATATCATGTAAATCTATCTGAACTATTGTATGATTTTTTTCTGGCAGATGGTTATTGCTGGCAGATGAATTCAGTTCATTCCTTTACTTTGTCCTGGTTATTTTCTAAGCAATCTTCATAACTTAAATATTTTTTGAGAATAGGAGTACTGTACTTTATTAATGCATCACTCATATGAGTATTAAATTTGGATGCCTCCTAGTTTCGAAGATAAACAAAGTGGAATGAGGATAAACTGTTAGATATTTTAATCAAGCAAAAAAAATCACACACACACACACACACACACACACACACACACACACACACACACACACACACACACACACACACACACACACACACACACACACAACACACACACAGACACACACGACACACACGACACACACGCACACACGACCACACACACACGACACACCACGACACACACACGACACACACACGACACACACACGACACACACACGACACACAACACACAGACACACACACACGACACACACACGACACACACACACGACACACACACACGACACCACACACAACACACACACACGACACACACACACACACACACACACACACGACACACACACACACGACACACACGACACACACACACACACACACACGACACACACACACGACACACACACACGACACACACACACACACACACACACACGAACACACACACGACACAACACAACACACACAACACACACACACACACGACACACACACACACACACACACACGACACACACACGACACACACACACACGACACACACACACGACACACACACACACGACACACACACACGACACACACACACGACACACACACACGACACACACACACGACACACACACACACACACACACACACACACGACACACACAACACGACACACACACACGACACACACACACGACACGACACACAACACACACGACACACACACACGACAACACACACACACGACACACACACACACAACACACACACACACACACACACACGACACACACACACAGACACACACACACGACACACACAACACACGACACACACACACACACACACCAACACACGACACACACACACGACACACACACGACACACACACACACACACACACACACACACACACACACAGTCTAGGGGGCCAGAGACTACAAACCTCACTCAAGGAAAAAGATCTTGGGGTGACTATAACACCAGGCACATCTCTTGAAGAGCACATCAACCAAATAACGGCTGCAGCATATGGGCGACGAGCAAACCTCTGAACAGTATTTTGACATCTTAATAAGGAATCGTTCAGGACTCTGTACACTGTGTACGTTAGGCCCATATTGGAGTATACAGCACCAGTTTGGAACCCACACCTAGCCAAGCACGTAAAGAAACTAGAGAAAGTGCAAAGGTTTGCAACAAGACTAGTCCCAGAGCTAAGAGGTATGTCCTACGAGGAGAGGTTAAGGGAAATCAACCTGACGACACTGGAGGACAGGAGAGATAGGGGGGACATGATAATGACATACAAAATACTGAGAGGAATTGACAGGGTGGACAAAGACAGGATGTTCCAGAGATTGGACACAGTAACAAGGGGACACAGTTGGAAGTCGAAGACACAGATGAATCACAGGGATGTTAGGAAGTATTTCTTCAGCCACAGAGTAGTCAGAAAGTGGAATAGTTTGGGAAGTGAAGTAGTGGAGGCAGGATCCATACATAGCTTTAAGCAGAGGTATGATAAAGCTCACGGTTCAGGGAGAGTGACCTAGTAGCGATCAGTGAAGAGGCGGGGCCAGGAGCTCGGACTCGACCGCTGCAACCTCAACTAGGTGAGTCAACTAGGTGAGTACAGTTGTAAGGCAGTGGAATAGCCTAGAAAATGACGTAGTGGAGGCAGGAACCATACACAGTTTTAAGACGAGGTTTGATAAAGCTCGTGGAGCGGGGAGAGAGAGGGCCCAGTAGCAACCGGTGAAGAGGCGGGGCCAGGAGCTAAGACTCGACCCCTGCAACCACAAATAGGTGAGTACAAATAGGCGAGTACACACAGACACACACACACACACACACACACACACACACACACACACACACACACACACACACACACACACACACACACACACACACACACACACACACAC